TTTCTGAAATATTTTTAAGCTCGTTAAATACAAACCGATATTCTTTAATTGCTTCGTGTGAAGAAGACTTGTGAAATGGTTTGTTTTTTACTCCCATTATTTTCTGCATTGATTTTTTATTTTATCTGCTTCGTGTACATTAAGGGCATTCTAAAAAAGAGATTTATTGAAGCATTTATTTTTTTTTTTTGCTTTTTTAATACGTAAATAAAATAATAGTGTTTAAAACATTGCTTCACAAAATCGAGTCAACTTCGCTTCCATTGAATCATGCAGATTCAAAATAACATGCGGTAAGATGTTTTTTAATGCATATTTTATAAAGAACTCTTTTAATTTATTGAATAGAAGATGTTTATTGTATTCCATGCTTAAGTTGGATAAGTTTTTTTTTTTTTAATTTTTTTTCAACGATTAATTTTTTTCAAGGAGAAAAAAATTAGTTGTTAAAAATAAATACATTTAAAATCTATTACCATAGAAATGATTATTTACGGAAAACTCCCTTGTTAGAGCAAATATTATTATTATTATAATTTAATTTTTTTTGGTAAATAAACCTTACCAAAAGACTAATCGAACTGTGTAAAAAAAATAATTATTTATATAAATATTACAAGTATTTTAATTTTATAAAATTTTTTTTTGTATTTAATCACGGACGTGTGTAAATATAACACGGATGTCCGATGCGGAGGAACGTGTGTAAAAAGAGAAAAAAAAATATACGCACATTTTTTTTCTTTTAACTATGTATTTATTTTAAGGCGCTTGTTTTGTTTTGAATTTTTTTTTACTATTATTATTATTATAAATTTGCCTTTTAAAATATTTAACTCTCGTATTTGTAAAATGTTAAAATGGCGGGAGCAAAAAGAATAAAAACTAGTCCCAAATAATCTGTAAATAATATAGCCATCTTGTCATTAAAAATGTTGTCAAATATAAAAAAAAATTGAAAAAAAAAACAAAAACAAAGATAATAAATTCCAAAATGTATTAAAATAAACACAAAGCAAAAATAACAAACAAACAATCGAAAAAATATATTCAGAATTATATACAGTTTATTTCATCTTTTATTATCAAAACTATAACAGTTTTCAATTATTACGATTAAAAATTCCGACTTTTTTAGTTTTATATAATAAGAAAATATATATATAAAAAAAAAGAATTTTTTAAAGAACCGAATTTTTTAAAATCTTTGCAAATAAAATGAAATTATTAAGAAATATAATGAAAAGATTTTAAAATTTTAAGAAAGATTTTTTGTTTTATATAATAAGAAAATATAAAACAAAAAATAAGAATTTTTTAATGAGCAGAATTTTTATTTCAATCTTTGCAAATAAAATGAAATTATAAAATATTTTAAAGACCAATAATTAAATATTTTAAAGACCAATAATTAAATATTTTAAAGACCAATAATTAAATATTTTAAAGACCAATAATTAAATATTGCTCTAGAAGAAATCCTTCATGTTTTAATTTATTAAAATTATTTATTTTAGTTTTGATTTAAAACTATTTATGCTTGCAAGCGTTTTGATGTTGTTTCTGTTTGCGAAAGTCATTTGATTGATTGCTACAATTTAACAAAGGATTACTGATAAAACCGGTTGATATATATATATATATATATATATAAAAAAAAAAAAAATACAAAAAAAACAAAACAAAAAAAAAACATTAAAGCCATCATCATAAGAAACATACTGCTTCCTATTAGAATACTTGAAGCAATTTTTATTATTTTTTTTTAGCAACATTGTATACTAAAAAAAACGACATTCTTTCGTAAATTTGAAAACATAAAAACAAGTTTTTCTGTTTCCGGAATTTTCATTTTTGGAACATATTTGGTTTGATTCAATTTATTTCAAGAAATATAAATAAAAACTCGTGTTTTTATTATTACTATTATTTTTATTTAGCAAATTATAATTTAGAATAAAATTTTGAACAAAATAGTTTAAATAGTTTAATAATTTGAACTTTGGAAATTGTTATTTTAGTCTATTTTTCAATAATTTTAGAATTTATTTTTTATTAACATTTATTTTGCTGATTAAACAATATCGCAATTTTTCATAAAATCATGTAAAAAATAAATAATATCGTAAACATAAAAACATTTTAAATTTTCTATATAATATTTTAATATATACTGTTATAATCGGTCAAGGACTCATAGCAAATAAGGGTGATGTGTTTATCATCACAATCTTTTCATAGAGCCTCTTCAGCCACTCATTAAAGAAACATTTTAACTTTTAAAATAAAATAAAAATTTAATAAAACAAAGCTCTATTTTTTTTTTGTGTATGAGTGTAAAAAATTGAAAACTAAAAATATTTAAACAAATTGGAAAAAAATAAAAAAATTCAATAATCTGAAAACAAATACTTAAAACTAACGGGTTAACTAAAAAACTAACGGGTGATAACTAAAAAACTAACGGGTGATAACTAAAAAACTAACGGGTGATAACTAAAAAACTAACGGGTGATAACCAAAAAACTAACGGGTGATAACTAAAAAACTAACGGGTGATAACTAAAAAACTAACGGTTGATAACTAAAAAATGAGAATAATTCTAACTCTCTAAAATCAAACCGCGAAAGTCAAAAAAAATAATAATATTCCTATACTCTCTCTCTGTTTACAAACTTATCGTATGTTTTTTGTTGCATCAACTAAAGATATTCCTATACTCTCTCTGTTTACAAACTTATCATATGTTTTGTTTTGCATCAACTAAAGATATTCCTATACTCTCTCTGTTTACAAGCTTATCATATGTTTTGTTTTGCATCAACTAAAGATATTCCTATACTCTCTCTGTTTACAAACTTATCATATGTTTTGTTTTGCATCAACTAATTCAGTTGTGTTTAAAATGCCCTCAAAACACGATGTACTACGCGAGCGCGTTGTAAAGTTCTATTAAATGCACAAAAATCTTGGAAAGAAGTTTACTGTGACTCATTTTAATCATTTTTTACCGAAAATGTTCCTATTTCAACTGTTTACAATATTTTGGCATTCTTAACAACCAATTGTAAAAGTGGAAGAGGAAGACCAGCTAAAATAATGAACAAGAAGAGACTGCATTTACTTCACAGTGCTTTCAACAACAATGATTCAATAAGTCAACGATGCTGCAGAAAAGTTCAAGAGTACGCAGCCTTATATATACAAATTGTTGGAAAAACAAGGTATAGTCTGCCAAAAAAAAACAAGAGCACCGGAATACACTGAGCAACAAATATCAACCGTGAAATCTCAATGCCGCTGAATGACGTGAAATTACTCTGAAAAATGTTTAGTTTTGGATGATGAAAGTTACTTTGCTCTCTCCAAAACGCAAGTTCCAGAAAATTACCGATATTATGCAGATAAAAGTTCTACAACACCTACAAAAGTAAAATACAAATATAAACACAAGTTTGAGAATAATAACACAAGTTTGAAAACACAAGTTTGAAACACTTCTTCTTGGAAAGCAAGTATCCATACATGCTTTCCAAGTATGGATACTTGCTTTAATAATATTTTAATAATATTGGTATCCATACTTGGAAAGTTTACTTGCTTTTTAAGTATGGATACCAATATTATATATATATAATATAATATATTAGCTGTATCTGATTTATATTCAATAAATTGCAAGGGATCTTTACAAAGACATCTCTCTCTCTTTATATGATATATATATATATATATATATATAAATTATGTTAGTGTATTCTAAAAATAGAGTGCTCAATGTTCTTAAAGAACAGAGCAATAATAAATTAGTATGTGTCTTCAATTGAGTGAAAAATATCTAAAACTCTAAGTTTCTGAACTTAGTTTGACATGTATCAGTTTATTTGCTTGACCAGAAAAAATGAACTTATTGAGACAGCTTGCATATTTCTAAACATTGCATGATTTACCGAGAACCAAATTGAGTTTACACACAAGCAAACACAGTGAAAAAAAATCTTTATGTATATATAAATCTAATTCTAATACATCTCCTAATTTTCCAGACATAACCCCTGCACCATGAAATCTATGATCTCTACTTTTTTGAAAATTGAGAAAAATATCATCAACAGCAGAGATTATGTTTTGCGCGAGAATAATATTAATTGTATCTGATTTATATTTAATAAATTGCAAGAGATTTTAACAAAGACTACTCTATTATATAATATAATATATATATATATATATATATATATATATATATATATATATATATATATATATATTCCTGATGATCCTACTTATGGAGAAACATGCTGTAGAACAAAATAAAAATTAGATAAGTGTTTTTACTAATTTATTATTGCTCTGTTCTTTAAGAACATTGAGCACTTAGCAGTCAATTGTGTATATAATTTTCAAGAAAGGTCAGTAGTCAACGATAATCCAGGAAGACGTAAAGAAGAGGACTCAGTGAGAGGGTTGCCATTCAAACTTCTTTTGCTTTGATGTCTATTCATCAAAAAAAAAATTAATGTTGAAAGAATTTTAAATATTTTCTACATTTCAGGAGAAAGACGCTTAGAATTGGTTTTTACTTAATATGAATTACTTTTATGTTTATTGACTTGAATGATATTATAACATTACATTGTATTTTATATAACTTAGTTTATATTTAAAATTTTGCTAAAAAGTGTACAAAAACTAAAAACTAACCTTAGGCAACTTGTAAAAATATCAGATAAAGTGCTAAGTCTTGTAGCTTACCTTCTCTTTGGTGCACTTTGTTAAGTGAGTAAGAAAAGTAATAAATGTCTAATTTATGAACAGAAAATCCAAGCCATTATTTTAAATAAGTTTATTTTAGATAGGTAACTGAAATCGATTAGTAAAAAATAGACATTTTTGCTACGATAGCTGATAGAAGTTACGTTAATTCCTCCTCCTACTCCATCTTTTTTTACGTTTCCACTGGCTATAAGGGGTCGCATTAAAAATAAATATTTTCTCATTAAAAAAAACAACTTTTTATATTAATATATAAGCACGTATTCTTACATTACTACGGATCAATTAACTTTTTCTTGTATTTGCTATAAATTATTATACTTCCTTCAACTCCATTCATAAAATAATATAATTAAGTCATAATTAAAATATAATAAAATTACTAATTTATTTGCTTTATTCATTTAATTCCATTTATTGTACATAAAAAATAATAAACTATAAAAAAAAAATTACTATGGGATATTTTAAAAACTATTAAGCAAATTAATCGAGGTCAATGATTGCAGCGCCACAACCAGGCTTTGTAGCAAATAAAGCATCAGCAACTTTAGCACGTCGAATCTCATCAATTTCGTAGAACTTACTTCTTACTACTTTGATGAACTCCTCAACTTTTTCTGAAGATACCAGTGACACAGAACAACCTCCCCAGCCAGCGCCTGTTAAACGAGAACCAAATGCACCCGCTTCTCTAAAATTTACAACAGTTTGTTAAATTTGTAAGAACATTATTTTAAAAATGATACAATAATAAACTAAACTACTTTCAGCAATTTTTACATATTTTCTAATGACACTTTTAAACAAAATGTGTGCGTGTATGTGTATGTGTGTGTGTGTGTGTGTGTGTGTGTGTGTGTGTGTGTGTGTGTGTGTGTGTGTGTGTGTATATATATATATATATATATATATATACATATATATATATATATATATATATACACATATATATACTTTTAAAAAACAACCTGCAAATTTGAGTTAAGATATCTAGCTCCTCGCAGCTACATTCGTAATCTACAGCACAACTTGTTTGACTTTCGTTCATTAAGTTGCCAAGTAACTTGAATAAGATAAAAAAATTAAATGTTAGGTGATATAACGCTTAAATAACTTTTAAACTTATTAAACTTTTTTTTTACCCGTTGCCCACATGAACCTATATAAAATCATTGTCATAATGAAAGAGAGCGTATATCTTATTATGAAAGACATAACTATAAAATTATAATTTGTCATAAAGAAAAAGATTTTAAATGTCACAACATGACGTCAAAGATTGTAATGTAACCATATGTATAAAAAAATTGTGATGCCACAATAAAATTCAAAATGCTAAAAAATTTGGTTGACGAATAGAACTAAAAAATATTTAGTTTAAGTTTGGCTAGGATTGATAATATTACAACTAATAATATTGAAAAAATGATATAAATATTTTATAATACTCTAATTAATACTATGCATATTTTTTAATACTATCATTTATCAAAAAAAACTTGCAAACCTTGAGCGAGTCTTCATTTTGTTGCTCGCAAATCTTTTTAAATAACAAAACTCGATTACTCTCAGAATAAACATGTTTGGCACGATTATAAAGTTTAAAAGACTGGGCATGAATTGTGGTTGGATTTAAACACTCTTTAATTAACTCTTCATCCTAAAAAAATTTATAATTATTTAATAAATTATACATGTGTTATACTTAATGTTGAATACTAAAGCAAAGCGTGCTAAGACTCTCATACTATCAAAACAAATGTACTACAAAATGCAAAATAAAATACAGTTATGTTAAGAAGTTGACATATTTCGTTCCGTGAATATGGTTCTTTATGAAAAACCTCCTCCACAATTTCTAACCTAAAATAGCAAATTCTTTAATTAACTTTTTAATAACATTTTTATTTTTTTAAATGAGTTTCTTATTTTTTTATAAATTTTATAAATTTAAAATATTTATAACTGGATAGTGTTAAACACAAGAGAATAAACTTTATATTTATTATAATTATTTTACAGAAAAACGACCACAATTGTTAGGATTTCAATAATGTATCAAAAATAAATGTTCCTTTGTAGCAGAATGACACACTAATCATTGGCTTGGATCGTTTTAACAAAGTATGCAATAATATGTTTTGGTTCCATCAAAACACAAACTGAATTTTAAGACAAATTCTGTTTGAGTTTTAAGACAAATTCTGTTTGAGTTTGGTTCCCTTTAACATCATCCAAATATCCTTCATAAAAAATCGTTTTTGGGGATTTATATCATAATATTGGGGATATATTCATTCATCATAGTAATCAATAAAAAGACCAAATAACACTGTTTATTAATGGCAGGCTATGATTTTGCTAAATGATGAAAATCATTGATGACATTTAATGCCAATTGCTATTAATAAAGATCATTATAATGGTGAAGATGAATCAATGATAATGTTATAGTCGTGTGCAGTAAAATAGTCGTACGTATTTTATTTTTCTATCAACAAACTTTGAACAATAAAATATAATTTTCTATTGTTTGTTTTTTATCGTTATTGTTCATAAACTAAATGTTGTGATTATAATAGTATAAAAAAATTTAAGAAAGATAATTGCAGCACTGTATGGTTTTAAATTTCAATATTATCAATTGAAGGTCATTCGTATTTTTTTTTTAAACTGTGCAATAAAATAGTAGTGAAATCATTTTTTATGAAAAGGTCAAAAAGTAATTAAATTTTATTACAAAAAAAAAATTTATTTTGAAGCTCTACATTTGTATTTCGTGGCATGATCTTTATTTGTAGTAACCGCCATGCATCTTCGTTGCATGGAATTAATAAGATTCTGACATCGTTCGCCAGATATATTTTGCCATGCTGACTGTACTACGTCCCACAGTTGATTACAACCTCTTGGATTATTTTCAGAAACTGCTTGTTTAACATCAATTCAAAAGTTTTCAATCGGATTGAAGTTAGGGGATTGTGCTGGCCACTCCATCACATCGACTTTGTTCTCATTAAACCACAATATGGCTAACTTGCTTGTATGTTTGGGATCATTATCCTTCTGGAACAAAAATTTTAACAGCATTTCTTCTTCAGCATAAGGCAGCACGATCTCTTCAAGTATTTTTACATATACAAACCGATCCATGATACCTTCTATGCGATGTATCGGCCCAAGACCATAGTAAGAAATACAACCCCACATCATTACTTTTGAACCTCCATGTTTGACAGTCTTTAATGTAAATGGTGGCTTATATGCTGCACCTGTTGGTCTTCTAACATACTGTTTACGAACATAGGAACCAAAAATTTTAATTTTGCTTTCATCAGTCCACAAAACATTTCGCCATTTTTTCTTTAGGCCAAGAAGCATGCATACGTGCAAATTTTAAACGATTTTCGATGTCTTTTACTCAAAAGTGGCACTTTTCTAAGTGTTCTTGTTGTCTAATGTGTTCTAATTGTCTTCGAATAGTTGAGATATTAACATTTAATTCTAGCCTTTCTTTAATTTTTCTAGAAGTAATAAATGACTTTTTTTTCGCTAACGATACAATTTGACGATCTTCTATAGCGATAGTTGATCTTTTATTCCCACATTTTTCTGGTTAGGGTATCCATTTTAAAGCATTACAAATCATTGTTGGTAAGCATCCGACCAATTCTTATATTTGTTTGTAGGCTTTACCATGATTTTTAAGATTTATAATTAAATTACGAACTTCTTCAGTACAATGCTTAGAGCGCCCCATGTTTCTCTAAATTTTCAAAATTTTAGTAAGTGTATAAATTTATCTAATATCAAAATAAATTAGTTACTTATTGCTTATTATTAAGAACTAATAATAATTAGAATTTAATAAGTACAGCAATTATTACACAAAAATTAATTTTGCACTACTATTTTATTGCACAGTCTAAAAACAAATATGAATGACCTTTAATCAATAATATTAAAAATTTAAAATATACAGTGCTGCAATTATCTTTCTTAAATTTTTTTATACTATTATAATCACAACATTTAGTTTATGAACAATAACAATAAAAAACAAACAATAGAAAAATATACTTTGATGTTCAAAGTTTGTTGATAGAAAAATAAAATACGCACTACTATTTTACTGCACACCACTGTAAATAATTATTTTCTTGAATCATCACTGAAAGATAGTTAATTACAATGTTGCTAACTTCTTGAAGACATTTTGTGGCAATGCTTCAAGTGATAAGTGTTAATAATTCAAGATCATTAATGGCAGCTAGTGATGATTATTAAACATTGAAGATATAAAAGTTATAAAACAGACATAAATTCTCACATTTCTTCTAAAGTCTTGTTCAATACATTTTGAGTGTCAACCAAACGCCTTGTATTACGCCAATTAAAATCGAATTTGTTAGAAAGTATCTAAAATGTCAAAAAAAAAAAAAAAAAAGAATAACTTTTAAATTTTAAGATAAAAAAAACAAATAATTAGAAACAAAGTGAATGTAAATACCTGAGCAGCAATACGACATTCTGCTACACGCATGTTATAATATTCACCTGCATTTTCAGCTTTTGACATATCTCTCTGTTAAAAAAATAAACAATAAACTACATTTAATTATAACCACATAAACTTATAATGCATATAAATTTATAAATAAAAAAAATCTTAGATGATTCAAAATTGTAATAATCAATGCAATATATGAAGTTGTTACATATATGAAGTTGTTCTATATATGAAATTTGTTTACTGTCATGTTTTAAAAATAAAAATAAAAACAATCCAATTATTGTTGGATTATTGTTCTTTTTATTTTTACAATAAAAAGAATCAACACTGATTATATATTAATAGACTTTTAATAATTCTTAGTAATTCCCCTTTTCCCCCTTTTTTTAACAAAGATTTTTTTAAAATGGGGTTTCTTACGTAAAAATAAAAGGAAAAGAAAATATCTTTTCCTTTTAATTTTTTTAAAAAAAATTTTTTTTAAATATCTTATTTTTTTTTACTACCTGTTTTTTACAACAAGAAACTTTTATCAAATTTTAGCGGTTCTCTTCAACAAAACCTTTTAAAATTTTATAACAAAATACTGTCAAAAATAATAAAAAATAATAAAGAACATAATAAAATAAGTACAAATAAAAAAGAGGGGGGAAGGGGAGGGGGTTGTTATATTTGTTCCTTTATTGGCAATGTTCCATTATTGGCTATTACAGATTTTGCCCTTTTGATTTTGTACAATAATTTTCCTAAAAACTTCAGTTCAATATCTGATAAAGCTCTTGAAAACGATTCTAGAAAAATAGTGGATTATTTTGCATAAAACTTTCATAAAACATCTTTAAGCAAAAAGTTTTTTTTCATGGTTTTGAACTTTTGTTAATTTTGCTTGTTTTTAATGTTTAATTTAATTAAACATTAAAAACAAGCAAAATTATTCAATTATTTTATAATATTATACTTTAGAAAAAAAATATTTAAATCTGCTATTAAGAAAAACTTTTTTCTTAACAGCAGGGTAAAGTTTATTTATTTTTTATCAAAGTTTAACTTTTTGCGATTTTAAGGAAATATTTTAAAAACTAAACTTAAATTTGCTACAAATCAAATTGTTGATCTATTTACGATTAAACATTTTAGAAAGTTGATTAAAGATTTTTTTACATTACAAGTCATTTTTTACATTACAAGTCATCAAATTAAATGGAGTCAAATTAATGAAAATTAATGTGCATTAAAAAATCTATTTATAAAAACTAAATAAATTAATGAGCACGTATTTATAATCTAAAAAGGTAATTTCAAAAAAGTTGATAAATTATCAATGAAAACAATATATATGAATATATATGATAAATTATCAATGAAAGCAATATATATACATACACACATATGTATATATATATATATATATATATATATATATATATATATATATATATATATATATATATATATATATATATATATATATATAAATTATCGATTTAAAACAATATATATGAATATATATGATAAATTATCAATGAAAGCAATATATATACATACACACACACACACACACATATATATATATATATATATATATATATATATATATATATATATATATATATATATATATATATATATATATATATATATATATATATATATATATATATATATATATGTTAACTAGTGCTACTTTAAAAACGCACAAATTTGTTATGATATTAAAAAGCGTGGTTTTTAAACGCAATAGCATTGAGGCCTAATACACGGCAATTAGAAATTTGTTAAATTGATTTTGCAATTTTAAAAGTAAAACTTAATTTCATAAGTTTTGATATTTTGGTCTTATTATTTAAGAACAATTTATGTCTTATAGTAACTTATTGTTTAAAAACAATGGTTTGCAAAATGATTTAAAATCAGATGTAAAATACAAAGAAAATAACTCGAATCCAATATTTTTTTTCTAATGACAGACTTTTCTTAAAATCAGTAGAAATATAATATATATAAATAAAATATAAAAATGAAATCAATAGAAATAGACTTGGTCAAAATTAATGTAATAAGTTTTTAGCAATGTCATTTTAAACCTACTTTTATCTACATTGCATCATTTTTGATTTACACTTTTAAGATCAACAAGATGTATATTGAGCCTGCTGCAGAGGAGAAATTCAAATCATGGTAAAACCATTGAGGTGTTTGGTGCTGGTGTTAGTACTTTTTGACCGAGATCACAATATAAAAATGGTAAAAAGTTTTGTACTCAAGGTCAGAAAAGATGCAAAGGATGTTGTTTCTTGTTTTAAGATATTTTTGAGATATTGTTTTAAGATATAAGTATATTTTTCTTAAAACAAGAAACGTTGTTTCATGCTTAAAAAAAAATATTTTGTAATAAAAAACTAAATTTTGCTGTGCTTACAGTAAAAAGTTTTCAAGATAATGTAGAGTGATGAGCTTGGAGAAGCTTCAGAAGCTATGAAACTTGAGGCCTTTTTTTGTTCCAAGCCTCCTATCATCGCAATATTTTGCAAAGCATCATTATTTGACATAAGTATAAACATAAATGTTTAGAGTTTGTGCCATGTCTGTTATCTCAAATATCAAAAAATGCAGGATCCTTCACTAATCTGTGGTTCGATGCCTA